TTTTTTTTTTTTTTTTTTTAATTCCCATTAAGTGTGTATTAACATAATATCATCTTTATATGATGGGACATTCTTCTTTCTTACACTAAATTAATAAGATTAGATAAATAATTGACAAGTTAAGCATAACTTCTTTCAAGAAGCAAAGACTTAAGCATAACTTCTTTCAAGGAGCAAAGACTAATTTTCTTTCATGTTACAAGTAGCATGAAATGTAACGGAAAATCTTTGGAAAAAATAAAAATATTAATTTTTACCTTAATTTAGATTATTACTTCGAGCCTGAAAAGTAGTGACTGAGTTTTGAAGATTCCTAAATAAAGTGGCTAAACTATTAAAGCTTCATAGATATATATTCGTAATTTCTTCTTTGCAAATAATAAACATAAAATAACTCATCCGAGAAAATATATGAAATTATTACTTTTGTGGCATTATGCCAAACATGAAGATTTATTTCCTAATCACAGTGTCTTTTCTAATTCTATCTTTAATTTTATCCACATAAGTAACACTTTAACAGTATTCCTAAGTAATTTTAATTAAATTAAAACTAATACTTGTACATCTTATTAAAAAATATGGAAAGTGTTGGGAAGAAAAAGGCTTACTTCCAAGAATTTAATTTTCCAATTTTAGTACTTTTTAAATTTTTAACATCTCCATTCCATTAAAACTAAAATAACTTGGTTTGACATAAGTACTGTTTAAGCTTTATTTGGTCACATAATTTTTGGTACGTTAACTTGTTAGTAAAATTAAATTTCTTTTAACTAAAGGTAAAATATATTGATACAAAAAGATGGTAGTTGAAAAATCATTATTTTGATGGTCAAGTAACTTCAAATCAAAACGCTGATCAATCTCCGATACGTGGCAGTACAAATTTCCTTTTCACTCTTCTAGTCACGATGATGTTATAATTTAGTACAATCTCCTACAATATTTAAGGTCAGAATCTTTACCATTGAAGCTTATATATGAATATATATCAAAAGCGTCTATTTATGACTATAAGAAAAAGATCAACGAATGATAGTTGCTTCAAAAAGCTGGTTTGTTCACTCATCAATTCACAATCAACCACTATTTCACTCGTTACTACATGCATTAACTCACTATATTGTCTGTGTATGCGTAGAGAGAGAGAGAGAGAGAGAGAATGGAGAGCTAGAGTAAGAGAAAGTATGGCGAAAAGATGTTCATAATTTTCTTTCCCAATCAAAACCCAGAATACGTACATAGATATCTAATGCATTTACTGCAAAAGCAAATAAAGCTGGTGTATTTGTGTTTTTTGGTTCTATAAAGACCAACCCTTTTCCTATGTGTCTTTCATCATCACACCCCTTGCTCAAGAACCTCCATTTCTTGAGCATAAAAGAAAAATTTGAACAGAACCAACAAATTTTTGCATAAGTTCTTCGAGTGTTCTTCTTGATATTTGAAGGCAACATGCCTAATAAAGCTTTGCATTTAGTCTTTGGTGTCATCGGTATTTATGCTTATCCATTTTCGTTAAATCGTGCTTACACAATACATAAGTTTCTTGATATTATTCTTATAATTTCCTGTTTCTTTTTCTCATATTGAATTTCCATTTTTTAACATTTTTCTTATTTTTTTTGTCGATCTTGTTGATTAAACAGGAAATGCTACCGGTTTGTTTCTCTTCTTGTCTCCAATGTAAGCTTTATGAGCAGGAAAATGTTGATATTTCCCTTTTTAGTCATTAGTTGATCAAATGATTATTATAGATAAAGCTTTGAGAGAATGATTTCTTCTCCATATGGTGCTGTTATTTTCATCCCTAGAAATGTTTCCTCTATATATAGGATTCTTTAATTAGCTACAATGTAATTACATCTTAACTAATTAAACATTTATTTTAGTTGATTTTTTCAATTATTGACAGGGTTACATTCAAGAGAATTGTCATGAAAAAATCTACAGAACAGTTCTCAGGCATTCCTTATGTCATGACTTTGCTCAACTGCTTGCTCGCAGCTTGGTACGATTTTTGAAATAGAGACTGATATTGTAAAAAAAATTAAACTGTATTTTTAATATATTTGATATGAGTAACACGAATTCTACTTGAATCCATCATTATATCTACTCAAAATATTTTTCTTATATAAATTATTAGTGATCTCTCTTTAGTTTTTTCTTTCGATAAAAACATATTTAACCCTAATCAAATTGATTATACAGGTATGGTCTGCCTTTTATATCACCAGACAACATCTTGGTAACAGCAATCAATGGCACTGGTGTACTAATTGAGTCAATTTATGTGTTGATTTTCTTCATATTTGCACCCAAGAAGGAGAAGGGAAAAATCTTGGGTCTTTTCATTTCCATTCTTGCTGTATTTTCAACGATTGCAATGATTTCTGTTTTTGGGCTTCATGAATCCAAGAAAAGAAAGCTTCTCTGTGGCTTTGCTGCTTCCATATTCTCTGTAATTATGTATGCGTCACCTTTATTGATCATGGTAAGATTTAAGATAATATTTTGTACGTAGTATTGAACAACACTCGACGAAACAACAGAATAGAAATAATGAAAGGGAATTTAACTACTTTTTCTTTTATGACAATTATTTAATGATTTTTATTGTGTATTTCATCGAAATTTGCATGTGCAGAGAATGGTGATTAAAAGCAAGAGTGTGGAGTATATGCCACTCTTCTTATCGTTGTTTGTCTTCCTGTGTGGTACTTCTTGGTTTATTTATGGACTTATTGGAAGAGACCCTTTTCTGTTCGTAAGTAGTGATTTTAATCAATACATATTTTTTTAAGTTCTCCGACGAAATAATTTAATGTAATAGTTCAAATCTCACTATTAAAAATTATGAAATTGACGTGACAACCCTTATTTATAATCAATGTGTTGAAGATAAAATAAAGATTTCTAATGGATTAAACTTCTAGATATAGTAATTTGACATATTTAGTAAATCTAATTGAAATTTATTTTGATAATGCAGGTACCGAATGGATTTGGGAGTGGATTAGGAGCAATGCAGTTGATTTTATATGCGATTTACCGCAATAATAAAGATGAAACCAATCAAACGAGCTGGAATGATACTTTGGAAATGGGAATTGGCCAGAATTATCAACAAAAGCAATCAAATGTTCTTAATGGACACCCATAAGAACCACCAACCCTAAACCTAAGTAGCACTTACATTTTTTTTCTCTCTCTCTCTCTCTCTCTCTCTCTCTCTCTCTCTCTCTCTCTCTCTCTCTTTGTTTCCCAATTCTGATAATGGCAAGTGTATCTTGTCTTTAGCAGCTCTTTGAGATGACGGATTTAATATATTTGCATATTAGAGTGCACTTTGAGGTAATACTGTGATATGTACTTTGCTAATTATTAATAAGCCACATTTATTTAAGCCTAAGTTATTTTTCAAATTTTGGTATTATGCTACTTTTGTAAATGCTAATTATACGTGTTTATTTTTCTCATTTAACTTATTAATAATCTCTATTAGAATGTCTTCCTTTTTTAAAATGACATTTAGAATTGAATAATGTTATTCACAATCGCTCATTATAACAGTCACCGTACGTGACATACACATGGCATGTGATTATTTGACGCATTAGTCAACGAAAAACTACCACACTAATACATCAAATAGCCACTTGCCATGTGTATGTCATATAGGACGACTGCTGTAATGAGCAATTATGAATAGTATTACTCGAATTGAATTAGTTTTCATGTTTCTGAAATATTAATTAAGCAACTAAATATAGAAGGTTGTTAAGTTTTAATTAAAGTCCGATACATGGATTAGGAATAGTGCGGGAAATTATATTTTCATCCCTAAGCAATGCTGCCAAATATCTTTGAAATGATTGTTAAAAGATGAAGTTTTTGAGATAGTAAATGTCATTACGTGTTGTTATGCCATTTTATACTCTAATGGAGTATGAAGTAATGCGCTCAATATCTTATTAAAATTGGAAGCAAGACTTTACTAAGAATCCTTTTTATATGATTGTATTGGACTTCCTCAAGAATAAAAATAAAACACTAAGGCCCTGTTTGACTCTCTTTATTTGAAAAATTAAAGAGTTTTGAATAGTATTTTTGGAGAATGTGTGGTTAAAAAATAATGAAACTTTATTGATTTGTGTGTAGAATATTTTATTGTGTGAATGTATTGTGGAGAATGATACTGCAAGCAAACAATATAAAATTTTAAAGGTTGTCAAACAGGGGGCTAAAATGAATTTGTATGATCAAGTCATTTTAGAAAGGTTGAATTTAAAGCAAAAAAATGTAGTCCTAATTGTTATACACTCAATGAAGTGTGCATTGGTGATTGATCATCTTCAGTTCGTAATGTGGTAAAATATTCATGTAACACTGACTGTAGTGGAGGATATATATTATATATTTTGTAACAAGAAGTGATTATTGATTATTACAAGTTATGTGATATTCGTCATTAATTCGAGTATCAATTTGTCACGACTCCTTGTGTAAAATATATTACATGAGTTGCAACCAAGTATGATTTTCTTACTTTAGAGAAGTTGTGTCCAATGATAAATTGAATAAGGTAATATATTTGTTGTAGTGGACTTACGAGTTGTCTAGTACACATACTCCACCTATATCTAATCCATTGCATCATTCGATATGCACATTGCAGTTATGGAAAGTGTTCATGTTATAATCAATTATAGTGGAGAGAGGCCCGAACTTCTTGTACCTATATATGGAATATATCAGTTTATCATTTGATACTATAGGAGTTGAGAATCGACAGAAGGATAGTCATTATGCGATATAGAAATAGAATCTATATTTGTCTATCGTTGTTGTAAAATTGAATTAAAGTGTTCTTGAGTTGAAACTTTAAGCTTGGTGAGGATATGCCTAGCTATCATTGAGCGATTTAAAAAAAAAAAAAAAACAAAAAAACAAAAATATTGTCATATGACAAAATTATTTACTTGAAATCTGGTAAAAATATTCTAACTAATAAAATTATTTACTCAAAGTCTGCTTGATAACATTAATATTTAGATAAGTTTGAAGTTTGACATAGCATAACTTGTCCATTAAAGTAATTTGTGATATGCTATGGTATCTAGTTACATCCTCCATAAACATGTCAAACACGTCTTTCATACCAAAGAGAAAATTTGAATTCGTTGCATAGCGGAATTTTTTTCGCAAAGACTAAATTGAGCACAAACTATAACGTCGCTATTTTTTTTTTTTTAATCAAAGATATATTTTAATAAAGGTCATATTTTAGAGTCAAGAAATTTATTCAAATATTGAAAAACGAAGACAAAAATCAGAAAGACTTTCATCAATTATCTCCATAAAGTCGAACATAGTTGTTTAAATCCAGAAATTAATTTGTAAATTCGAAGAGAAAGCAAAGTCATTTTCCAAGGTACAAAATTTCAATCCATTCATAATTTATTCATCAAACATAATTGACAAAAGATTCAACAAAGAATATGTTCATAGTTCGTTCTAAAGCTTCTTCGTCGACAAAGCGATACCCTAATAACCCCTACCACAAATGAACTTTAGGCCTCGTTTCATCTTTCTTAATCCTGAATCTAATCAATTTATAATATGTAACAAAGATGCATTATATATCCTTGTTATGAATTAACTAATTCAACCTAATAAATAAAATTGTTTTGCCTTTAATCAGACCCGCCAACAGTCATCCATGATCAAAAGAGAACTTTACCCTACATCCTTGGAGTGTTCATTCAAACACGTTTAGTACGCACTATAGTTACATGCCCCCGTGTGTTTTCCATTATTTTCTCATTAAAATAAAAAATATGACCGTTATCCATCACATCAAGCAACTAAATTTGAATTTTTATCTCTTGTATGGAGCTCATAACGATTATATTTTTTATTCTCATTTTTCCAAAAATGAGAAACAAACGGGGATATAATATGACCCACAATAATAAACAAGAATAGCACCATATGAATGCATGCTAAATATATTTACCTCCTTCAGTCTAATACAACTCTGTTGGCAACATATTTATCTCATTTATAAATTTGGGATCACGGACAAAAAATGTGTCCTAACATGTGAATTGTTTGCCAAAAAAAATTAATAATAATAAAATAAAATAAAAATGTAAAAGCATAGCTAGAAATTAGAATCCTTTGTTACCTACAAAATAAATAAATAAATAAAAATAAAATCATGTAATGTTAATGTTAACTTGCGTTTAACATTTATTAACCTCCTCTGATCTAATACAACTTCGTCTACAAACCATGTCCAACAACATATATAGCTCATTTATAAATTTGGGATCATGAACATAATATATTTCCCAATATACATACGAACAACTCGAATTTGTTAATAAAGAAAAGATACAGAATCATAGATAGCACAATTTATCAGATACCATGGCTCACCATATGAATGATGACATCTTAGCATGGTCAAACTACACACAAATTTTGTCAGGTTATAACATATTACCAACATACCATGAAACAATAAAAATCAATTCCTAATCTGCTTTAGTAAAAAATAAATAAATAATACACATGGCCCCAGGAAAAAAAAAATGGCCCCAACCTATCAACGAACTAAAATGCTAAAAAATAAATAAATAAAGGGCATTCAAATTTAAGATTTACATTTAACAGAAGAAAAATGAATGTACCTTTTTCGAACCAAGAAAACAGAAAGCTTCATGCACAAAATAATGGCATAAATTGAAAAAATGACTGCGGCTATAAGCAAAATTCAGATTGGTGTTCAGAATAGAGTTAGGAAACTCGTTATCCACACAAGTTGCAATGCCTGTTAAGGGATATAATCTCACATCGAATAAAGATGAAAATATAGACCAACTTATAAGATCTTGGACTAATCCTCTTAAAAAAGTTGACCTTTCAAAATGGAATCTCAAATCTTAACATGGTATCAGAGCCCATTAAACTCTAACAAACGATTTGATCTGATTAAGACTCAATAAATGAGTATATGAATTTCAAGATTGGTCTACTCAATCGAGCCACCATTTTGCAGGGGCTTATTAAGGAATATAATTTCATATCGAATAAAGATAAAAACATAGACCAACTTATAAGGTTTTGAACTACTCCTCTTAACAAGATTAACTGATAAGTGTATTTTATACACTTCTTCGATACCTAAAATGACGATATTTGATGGTTATTTTGACAAATTGTATTCTAATTTTTTTTTATTTTATATTTAATAGGTGAAATTTTATTAATGAAAAGGAATTGAAGGAAAGAAGCAAAAACGGACGAAAATGACAAAATCGAAAGTACAGGTACTAAATTGGTCATTGAATAAAAATTGAGGACGTGAAAGCAAACACCACTATAAATGGGCCTCAGCTTGACTACTACTTGGGTTCAATGGCAATTGAAATACACATCATATGGGACTTAACAATTCAAGTGGGTGAACAATTGGATTATATACACATGGCAAGAAAAAAAGATGGCTTTGAATTGGGTTTCTTTTTAGCAATTGGGGGCTAATTGGACTTCTTGACCCATGAAGACACGCATAAATTAAAGTCTCTCTTGGAGTCAAAAGGCGGCGGCGAGGTTATATTTATATAGATACAAACAGGAACCAGAAAAGAGGAGGAGACACGCACGAAAATTGGAGGCAGCATATTTTATATTTTCCACACTTTGAAGCTGCCAATATATATTTTCACGCACAAAAAACGGAGGGTAGAATTTACCCACATATTTGAGGGCTGACTTGCTGCTGAAATTAATCTGTGACGGGTGAAGGAAAGAAGTTGTTGGCTGCCATTAATATAGAGATAGAAGCTGCCGGGTGCAATGATAATACACTGAAATTGAGGCAGGTTTTGGAGAAATACAAAAAATAAAATAAAATAAATAAGGGCAGCGCTGGGGAAAGGTTTTACACGTAAGCAGTAGAAAGGATCATAATTGAAAATTATTTACGTTTCGTCAATTCCCGGTGATATCTTCCATAATTTCTTGTTTTTCCTCCATTAATATGCGTAGCTAAATTTAATTTGAGGGCGAACAATGTAACTAATTTGGGATCCTTTATTTCGTTTATTTGAGATTCTTATTCTTTTATATTTAATGTGGGGATTTTAATTATGTTATCAATACTTTGAATTTTCTGGCCAATTATTCA